CTGTGTGGACAACACGGCAACACAATTGGACACAGGCACAAACACTAGGCTAGGGCTCATTTTACTTGGCAGCATTCGGAACTAACCTTTGGCTTGTGTGGCGGAATCCGTTAACGTGGGTCAAGCACACACCAGAGTGTTAGACAAAAGAGGTGTAACAAAAGGGGTTAAGATAACTGAAATGGGTTTTAGGGGTCAACTTTAACTCTTTTCAAAAAGATGCTAGTTTAGTATATATTAAAACATTAATATTGTATAAGTAAGGCCCTCTAAGGTGGAGACACATGCCTATGGAATGTCTGTTGTGTGTGTGTGGTGTGTGTGTGTGTTTGGTATATATAAAGTCTCTTTGCAAGACTAAGATAAATTTATTATTGTGGAATAAAAAAAAAAAATCATGAATTAATGTATTCCAATTAAATTTAGATGAATTAAGCCAAATTGATAATATAAATAACAATTAACACTTATAATATAACACATATATGTCATTATATATAGGTAACCTAATTGAATAATAAGAAAGAAAGAAGAGAGAATACATATTAATACCTTATTAATTAATATAGTATAAATAATATATTAATATATATTAAGTATATAAATATTATATAATTTAATTTATTATAATATACAAATACATACCATACAGTATTAATAATATTTAATATATATGATACTGTATTAAATATAATATAATAAATATATACAGTATATATATATATGTAATAATATATATATTATATTACAATGTAATATATATATATATACATATAGCACAATATATATGTTATAATATTATTATATAATATATAATACATCAATTATATTAGTATACTATCATAATAATATATACATCTATTATTATATAGTATAATTACTATAATATATAATTATATACAATAGTATAGTATATATATTAAATATATATGATATACCTATTTAATATATATAATATAAGTATATAACAATATATATATATTAACTATATATATTATTATATATATGCTATTATATATATTAATTAATTTAATATCATTACTATTTATACTATAGATATTATATTATATATATATATAATATACCATATATATGTATATTATATTTAATTTATTTTAATACAATATTATTTATTAATATATACTTATAATTATATAATATAATAATATATATGATAATACTTTTATATATATAATATATATATTAATTAATAATAATATATATATTACTAATATTAATAATATATAATATATAATAATATAGCATTGATATATAATTAACATATTATATTATACATATAATATAATACTCATATATATATAGTTATAAATAACATATATTATAATGTAATGGATTTAAATGTATAATAATTTATGTATCGATATATATATTAATATGATACTAATAGTTATTAAAGTATTAATGTAATTAGTTATTATATGTTAATATATTGTTTTTATACTATATATAATAAAATATAGTATATTACTAATATATATTACATATAATAGTTATATAATATATACCGTAATATTATGTATATAATTATGTTATATATTATTATGTTAAAATGTTAATGTGTAATAGATATATATATATATATATATTAATGATATTATTATATATACACATAATCAATTAATATATTAGAGAGCATATCATATATAATAATAAAATTATATGCTATATTATAATTAATATAATATTAATATTTAAATAAATAGTTAGTATATTATATTAAAAATTATAAATAATATTATTAATTAATAATAATATAAAAATAGATAATTTAATAATATATATTATCAAATTAATAAAATATTATAAGATAATATTTAAATAATAAATAAATAATAATATATTATTATATATTAAGAAATATACTATATATTACACACACATTTATATTAATATTACTAAATAAAATAAAGTAACAACCTACATATAAATAAATAAATAAAATACGTATATAACATAGTAACATAGTATACATGTAAATATATATCGTATAATTAAATATTAATTATATAAATGTTATTAATATATATATACAATATAATACTGATATATATATTAATAATATAGTCATATATATATTTCATATGTGATACTAATCATATATATAGTGCTTATCCATATATATTATATAAATATAATATATAATATAATAATCTTACACAATATATAATACATAAATATATGTACATTATATATTATCTACTATAATCTATTAATAATACTAATATATATTATATAATATTACATTATATATTATATATATTTAATATAATATCCTAATTTAGTAATATATAACATATATAATATTGATATAAATGTATTATATATAGTTATATTAATATAGTAAATATTATATATACTGGTATATATATATATATACCACTATATTAGATATATATATGTATATTTATATATAATATAATGTATAATATATATAGTATAATATATATATTTATAATATATATATATATATATAATATAAGTTATATGTAATTTAAAATTATATATAATATATACATATGCAATCTATATATATATCTATGTTATATAATATGATTGCATTATATAGTATTAAGCTAATACATTATATATATATAATAAATAATATGTATATAGTAATGCATAATATTATAATGTAATGTATATTTTGATTAAAAAATATTAAAGGTTAATATAATATAATATAATACCACATATAATGTATTATGATATGTATAACATATAATATAAGTAAATTTATGGGATTTATATTATCTGATTATACAATATCAATTATATATTAATATATATATATTACATATATATATACAAATATTATTATTATGTTTTAATGTATATTATAATATAATATAATTATATATGCTTTTTATTATATAGTTATATATATAATATACATATAATAGTATATATTGAATAATACTATATTATTATATATATATCATCTATATATCTGCACTCTATTTAATAATATATGGAATACTATTTAAATGACTATATATATTGACAATACATAATAATATTATTTTGATAATAGTATACATATTTGTATATATATTATATAAACCCTCACTATATCTCACATATTATATAATATATATATATATATATTTATATATATTTTTATTAACATAATATCACTATATAAATATTATATCATTACTAAAGTATTATAGATATATATATATATTATATATACTATAATCATAGCAAACATTTATAATAATAATCTAGTTAATTAAATTATATATAGTAAAATATAATAACATTATATTAACACAACACACACCTACACACAAACTACACTGAACAGTCATACATACAATAACAACACACACATATTTATTATTATACGCTAGTTATAATAATTATTATGTATATATATAGTCTAATACATATTAATATATATAGCTATAGTACATATATAGTATATAATATATAATTTGTATATATATATTTAATTAATAACAATTATATGTTATATTATAATATATAGTATATATATGTATAATGGCATATTATATTATCTACTATTGATATATATTATGATTAGATATATATAGCATATAAATGTATATAATGTATAATGTATATATGATATTATATTAGTAACTAAATATAGTATTAAATATATATATATGTGTATTATGTTAATTGTAATTATTATATTTATATATATACTGATGTATAATATTATATTAATGATATATGTGTTATGTTACTTAAACATTATATATATATAAAGTAGATGTAATATAATATTATTGATATAATTAATTATAAAGTGTATATAATAAGGTTATTACTATAGTATATAGTTGAATATATATAGGTGTGTATTATAATATGTTTAATTATAAATTAGATGTAATTATAAATAATATACATAGTATATGTATTAGTAATTTATAATATTATTAAAGTATTTTGAGTATATGTATGTATGAATGTATTGATATATATTTATATGTAATAATATTATGGTATTATTATATTATAATATAATATTGTATATGATTAGATATTTATATTAATTAATATAATATATATTATATTATAGTGTTATATATATATTATATTAGTATATATATACATGTATGTATAATATAATGTATGTATATATATATTAATTGGTGTATGATGTACCATATATGAGATAGTAGTTAGCATATATGTCTCACATATATATATGTTAATTAATATATATACACTACGTGTATAGTTATAGTATTGGTAAATTAATGACTAGTATAAATAATTAGATATATTAGTAATATATCTGTTATATATATAAATATGTATATTAATACATATTATATATCAGTTATCAGTATCCAAACATCGAGTCACAACAATAATCACAGACACATAACACAACATACACACAAACATCGTTACACTATTATCAAAAACCATAAACAACATACAAAATATATATATATCCCCACAATATATGCTTATATACATGTTATTATGTATATATTGATTATAATTATATATATATTTGAAGTAATTATATGCCGTGTTATAATAATGATTTATTGATATGATATAGTATGATATAAATATTATATTAATGTCATATTATAATAAATATAACTATATTAATTAATTAATAAATATATGTTAAATATATTAAATATAATATTATTATATAATTATATTAATTAATTTAATATATAATATAATATAAATATATATCAACACACACAAAGTTAAACACATTATACATACATTTTCATTATACATTATACTATATATATACTATTAAACATACATATATACATTATAGCATACAAATATATAATACTAACACACACCACCTACACTCACACAACCCACACACATACCACAACCACACACCAACCCATATAACCATCAAATAGTTTATATATTTGTGTATATATAAATTTATTTATGTATATATATCCCTTCTACCCCTACACCCCACAACACCACACACACCACTACACACAAACCACCAC